GATCATACCTTGAAATGATCGATCATAATTGAGAGGATATAATAGCGGTTAGGGGTTAACCGCTATCTAAAATGTATTTTAGATAGCGGTTATGCGTTAACCGCTATCTTAATCATATTTTAGATAGCGGTTAAGCGTTAACAGCTATTAGAAGTCTTATTCGCTCAGCGAAAATAGAATCGCTCGAGCTAAACGCCTCTGCACAAAATTGGCATTCTCGGGTTGTATTTCAGCTTGAGCGACTCTAGTCTCGCTCGAGCGATTTTTTGCTCTGATCGATTAGATTTTTGAAATGATCGATCATATTTGATAATTTTTTCAAATAATTAATTATAATCGATTAGTTTTATAAATTATTGATTAGAATTGATTAGTTTTTCAAAGAATAGATTAGAATTGATTAATTTCGAAATATATACTAAAAAATTATAAATAAAAATATAAATTAGTTAAGAATATTGACTATTGTAAAGATAAAGTAGAACATGGGAGGAGATGAGGATGATAATATAATGATAGAACTTACAAAAATGTAGAATTGAGATGTTTGAAACAAATAAAATTAAGAAAATAGAGATTTAATTACACTTTTAATAAATTTAAGATAATACTAGTTTTGATTTTTATTTTTAAATAGTTATTTTAATTTTTTAAAAACAGAGAAACTATAATTTTAGTTTCTAAATACTAAATTTAAAGAATTAAATTTATTATTAATATTTTTTAATATTGTTTTAAATGTGGATATCTTTAATATTTTGGACATATAAATATAATTTATACATGTTTTTAAACCTTTTTCTAATATTTGTTTTTAAAAATATAATATCATTTTTAATATTTTATAGATTTTATATTTATATATTTATAAAAGTAATTGGATTAAATTTATTATCCTATCATATATTATTATACATTTAGCGTAATTTTAGTTTAATTTAAAATTAGAATACAAATATACTATACTAATATACCATTATATTATTTTCATTGTATATAAATTACAAAATTAATAATTTGTATACTATACAATACTAACATATTATTTGTATACTATACTAATAGTATAATATACTATATTATAATATTATTTGTATACAAAACTAATATCTTTATATATAAATATATAAATATGGAAAGATATAAATATATGTAAAAATATAAACATATAAATATATATAAATATGTAAAGATATAAACATATATCTTTAATATTTTGTACATGTAAATATAATTTATATATATTTTTAAATCTTTTTCTAATATTTATTTTTAAAAATATAATATTATTTTTAAAATTTAATATTTTTTTCAAATATATAAATATATATAAAGATATAAATGTATAAGGATATAAATAAATATATCAATATATAAATATATCAAAATATTAATATATCAATATATTAATATATAAATATATTAATATATAAATATATTAATATATAAATATATTAATATATAAATATATAAATATATTAATATATTAATATATTAATATATAAATATATTAATATATAAATATATAAATATATAAATATATAAATATATAAATATATAAATATATAAATATATAAATATATAAATATATAAATATATATATATATATATATATATATATATATATATACAAATATATCAATATATCAATATTATCCCCTCATATATTAATATACATTATTAGCATAATTTTAATTTAATTAAAAATTAGAATACAAATATACTATCCTATACTAATATACCATTATATTATTTTCATTGTATATAAATTACAAAATTAATAATTTGTATAATATACTATACTAATATATTATTTGTATACTATACTAATAGTATAATATACTATATTATAATATTATTTATATAGAAAACTAATATCTTTATATATAAATATGAAAATATATAAATATATGTAAAAATATGAAGATATAAATATATAAATATATAAATATATGTGAAAATATAAAGATATAAAGATATAAATATATCAATATTTAAATATATATTAAAATATATAAATATATTTTTATTTATAGATTTTATATTTATATATTTATACGGATATACATTTATTTGTATATAAATATAATTTATTTGTAAGTTATTATTAAAAGATCCTAGTAGCTCAGTGGTTGGAGTTTCGACCTCCAACTCTAAGGTACAGGGTTCGAATCTTGACAATGACATGATAAATTACCTAATAATAAGTTAAACTTCTAAAAAATATAATATAATTAAGAGGTATGAGAAATAAATATAAATAAAAACTTAAATAAGCAAAAATATAATATAATTAAGAGGTAGGGAAAATAAATAATTATATTAATATATTAGCGATCGAATATATTGGTCGTTATTTTTTAAAACTTTACCACGGATTTAGCTGACCGATTTAGCTGACCACTTAATTCGGTCGCTATTTTGGTCTCCAATGAATAAGTGACCAAATTATTTAGCGACCACTTTAGCGACCACCGGATCGGTCGCTATTTAGCGACCGAAATGTAAATCGGTCACTAACAACTTAGCGACTTGCCCTTTTGCGACCAACCATTTCGGTCAGCTAATTTGATCAGCTAACGTAATAGCGACGAATTTTGGCCATTAGCGATCGATTTTTTGGTCGCTAAAAGCGATTTTTCTTGTAGTATTATAATTAGTTTTCTTCCAAGTACGTTATATTTATATTATAGAAAATGAATAATCAAAGGTCTCGACGAAACTCTTTTTAAAATGAAGCACAATTTTTTTTCCCCTATTTAGCTATTGCACAATAATTTGACTTTCTAACAATTGAGAAATGGAAACATACCTTTACTTATTTAGTTTTTCATTCTATTGTTTTGGAAGAAAAACGTATATTGTTTAAATGAATAAACTATATTTAAATAGATTGGTCAATGCTCATTCACTCAAATTTGACCTCGTGCAAAATCCTTGTGAAATCCAATGGCAAGTTATTTTTCAAATAATAATAAAATTAATATTTGCATTAATTTTGTTGAGTTGACTAATAACACAAGAATCATAATCTCCAAACAATAAAATAAAGTTTGAATATATATATATATATATATATATATATATATTAAAATAAGAAGATATTGATTTACTTTTAAAATATAGATATATAAAGATGATTATTTTTTTAACCGTATTATTATATCATTGTTTAATAAAATACTTTCTTCTCCTATATCTCTTCTATCACACTTTTTCTCTCATTTCCACTCCTTCAATAATTACACATTCTCTTTAATTTTTATCTAATATATAAATGAAATAAATAAAAATTATATTTTATTTTATCTTTTCTACTTCTCCAATCACATTATTCTCTTACATCTATTTTTTTACATATAATAATATTTATATTTTAAAATTAATATATATTAAATTTTAATTTATTAAAATGATAAAAATTAAATAAAAAATCGGATACACAGGTAAATGAACATACTTAATTTTTTATTTATTTATTTTAATCTAATGATTAAAATGAATTATAATATTAAATTATTACATTAAAGAAAAATAACATAGTAGGAAAAAGTACGTATCTTATCTTTATATTTTAAATAAGTGAATTGCTCCTTAAAAAAAAGTTAGTTTTAAATTAAAGTTTATTAAGTAGATTTTTTTTACCAGTTATACTTGTTCTTACGTGAATTGTTTTGTATATAATAAAAATCAAAGACATACTTCAAATACAAATCGTTTTTATAATGTGAGAGTGCAGATCATTTAACTACCATAAGTTGAAAAGGATTTATAGTGGAAATGGAAGACTAATCCTCACTCATATAGAAAACCAATGGAAAAAAATTTAAACCATTTAATATAATATTATAGGTTAATGTTCAAGTGAATATAAGTCTTATAATAAAAATAATAAAATTGAATAACATATAAATAAATAAAAATTCACAAATTTATTAACTTAACGTTTTAGACTGAGAATGAAGTCGTATTATTATCTTATTTTTATTAATTAAAATGCTATATAATATATAGATCATCTTTTAAGTATTTCGAAATGACAATGAAGAACTAATCTCTAGTTTCTGCTGATAAAAACTGAGAGGTAAGAGAATTGCATTTATTTATTAGATGACAATATTGTACTCTTAAATAACCAAAAATAAAAGTCTTGTAAAAACGAAAAATAAATTAATATAGAATTTAATACCATAAATAATTATTAGAACTCACAACATTAAGTTTAGTTGAAGAAAAAACCAAATTCTTAGAACACAGTAGGGTTCATAAGAGATTTAAAAAGGGAAGACACGTGGAAGGAAAACATTGGACAGAAGTGCTAGTGTGGTATATTAAAATAGAGAAAACACGCTTCGGAAAACTATGCTTATATACACATTGCACACGAGATTTAAGATTTGTATCAATAATTTCATAAAAAAGTAAAGATTTTCTGAATAATTGGGATGAAAAAATAAAATAAAATTAGGAAATTTATCACATAAACTCTCCTAAAAATATTTCGGACCGAAACTTTGAAAGATAATTTGACCAAGAAATTATTTCTATAGAGGAGATAAAAAGATTATTTATGATAATTAAAGAGTCATTGGCAGCATAAAATCTGTTATTTTTTCAAAATATTGAATACTCACTTAATTGCTGCATCTCTTTGAGAGAGATTATTTCTTTCCGTCTTTCTCTCTCTTTTTTGTGTTCTTTCTTCCCCTCTTCTTAGTTAAGATGACTAATTTCTCTCTTCCCCTTTATCTTTGAATCTTCGGAAAAACCCAACAACCACACTCTCAGTTTCGGTTCTGTGGATTGGCAGCACAATTTTGTACCTCTCTCACCCCTCAATTGTCATCTCTCGTCAATTACTCTAGAGGTAAAAAAAGGTTTCTTTGGTGCATGATTGTGGCGTTTTTTTTTTGTTCTTCTTTGATTTTGTTTGAGATTCTTCTCTCTTCTTAACCCTAGCTCATTTTTTGTTTTTTTTTTTTATTATTTATTTTTCTAAGATGAATCGTATAGAGAATGGTGTAGAAGCAGTCTCTGATCATGGGTTGCAATCTTGCACCAAAGAGAAGGTGAAGAGATCTGTTTTGGGGTCTTGCAAAGCTGAAGTTGAATCAGTGGCTGGTAAGGAAAACCCTTCCCCAAAAGTGAGTACGTGTAATATCTGCTTCCGGAGTTTTGGCTGCGGCAAGGCTTTAGGTGGACACAGAAGATCCCACTTTTTGAAGCAGCAAAAGAAGGTAAAGATCTGTTCAACTGATAATCAGTCGTCAAAACCTGGTGATAATAACATTAGGGCTAACTGTGATTTTGATGATGACGGTGGCAAACACATTTGTTGTATTTGCAAGAAGGAATTTCCTACCAAAAATGCTTTGTTTGGGCACATGAGGTCTCATCCTGAGAGGCCATGGAGGGGTGTGTCCCCTCCTATTCAAAAGCACTCGTCTTCTCCTTCTTCTTATTATTATTATTCTTCTTCTTATTCTTCCATCAATTCTGATTCCATGGAAAAAAACAAGGAGGATCACGATGTTGATGATGATTGTGGTGGGGGTGAAAGGGTGATTGCACCAGATGAACATCACACAGATGTTATTGATCTTTCAGCTCTTATCTCACCCAGCTGGCTTAAGAAAGATATAAGAGGCAGAAGTTCTATTGGTGGGTATCAGGCTGCTGAAACTCTTTTTTACATGTGTGGTTATTCTAAGTTCTTTCGTAGCGAGTCTAATAGGGTTTTTCCCAAGAAGGATGAAGTGCTGCCAAAGAGTACCCCAAGCCTAATTAAGGAGCGGAAGAGAAAGAATGGCGAATCATCATCAAGTAAGAAAGATAAGGTGAAGAAGATAAGATTTTTATTTAAAGGTGAGTTGCAGTTGGTAAACAAAACTGATGGGGTTGGTGAATTTGATGATGGGGGTAATGAGCTGAATAAGTCCAAGGGTTCATCTGAATCTGGGGTTGAATATAACCATGATGAAAAGAAGATTATGGACGAGGGTTTTGATTATGTGAATGCAGGAATGGTTAACCCAACTGTGCAACATGTTGGTCCTTCTACTGTGAAGAAAGGGAAAAACAGTAGGAAATTGGTACTGAATTCAAGGACAAAGGACTCAGAATCTGAGAATGTGAGTCAAGAGAAAGAGGATAAGTATAAATGTACAGCATGTGGAAAAGGCTTCCCAACTTTCCAAGGCCTAGGAGGGCACAGGTCAATCCATAAAGAGAAGAACATTGTAAGCATTGATGAGTCAAGCCCCTTGGAAGCTGTTGCTGAACAAAACAACTCTAGCAGCTCCAGTAACATGCAAAAGATGGAGGAGCCATTATTGAATGAAGCAACCTTAGCACAACAACCATGCCAATCTTCAGGTGTCAAGACACTGAATTTCGATCTTAATGAGCTGCCTTCTGCTACGGAGGAGGACTGAGCAGTTTGTATAGTTCTCCATTTTGCTGCATTTTTAGTTTTTTTTTTTAATTTATTAAATCTTGCAATCTTAATTTTTATAATCTTAATAAGTATGAATATAGAACTTTGTATTTAGGAATTCTATGGTACAAAATTTAAGAGTCATGCTACTGTTATTGTGTGCTTAAACTCTTTTGGTGTTACTAAAAGTTTGTAGCAGAACTCTTAAATTTGGTACATTGTAACTGTCCTTTACTTCACAGGATTAAACTTCTTAATCAGTTCATGTATATATATATATATATATATATATATATATATATATATATATATATATATATATATATATATATATGCTTTTGTCATTTTATGATATATTGTGTACTTTTGCCACTTTTTCAGTCTTCCATATATTTTCAATTGATTTGTTGTGTTGTGGAGTTACTTAATAAACTTCAATTCACTCCTTCTATTGATTTTTCACAGTATTCCATAGGTTGAAGCGCATCAAACTGAAAACTAATGATACTTGTCATTCAAATGGGTTTGCCTAGTGACGGAAATCAAACTCCTACTTTATCTTTTAAATTTGATTTTTTTAATTAACTTTATAATGTTTAATCTTTTGTTGATTTTAGTTTTCGAAGATTGAAGCTATTCTCACGAATGGAATATGGGTCCTTGAAAGGTTGAAGTTAACCAAATTTTATTTATCTAGTTGCAAAAAGTCCTTAATTTTTTGCTAGTTAAATGGTTCTACTGTATCTAGAAACTAGAAACACTTTTACTTCTTGAACACTAATTATGTTTCGATTGAGACTCCTAAGTCTTTTTATTTTCTTCAGTATTAATATTCTACTTCTACTTTATATTTCAAGGGGCTAAATTCCCAAAATATTATAATGAAGATGTTAATATTAGATGTATGTTATGTTTGATTATATTTTATTATTTTTGAAATACTTTTTCTGCATCAAAATAAAATGAAAATTATATTGGAATAGGAAAGTAATTTGTCTCCTCGTGAAGTGTTAAATTTCGACCTTCTTAGCATAAAACTGCACACAATTTTGCTCAAAATAAAAGATTCTTTGGAATATTTTGTTTATAATTTTTTGACAAACTAAATATAAACATTTCCTATTTCAAAGTTTTTAAACACTGTGAAACAATCTTAGAGATATACCAAATTTATATAAATTTTAGAGAAATATTTTATTTGCTGGAATTTTTCCTATATCATGCAAAACATATTCAGTTCATTTTTTATATTTATATATATATCTTAAATAACCACTAAAAAAATTATATATATATATATATATATATATATATATATATATATATATACTTCATTCTCAAAATTTATAGTATTTAATTAGGAGCAATCAAAGAAAATCATGTTATTTTGTCTAGTACTACTTTTTATTTAATCATATTAATTTGTCAAATTATAATTAAATAAAAGAAATTAATTTACTTGAGCTATATATATATTGTTTAAAGGTATTAAAATAAGCTAATCCATAACTGTTTCCAAAAGGAAAAAAAGATATGAGGTTAGATTAAAATATTTATAATTTAAATTCAATTTTAATTTAATTTATTTAGGTAAAGTTATTTATTTTACAAAATAAAAATAATATTATATTATTAATATGTATATATATTATATAAATTAATTTATAAAGAATTTACTAATTCTAAGAATACGTTTCAAACAATAATTTATTCTAAAATTTCATAATTTAAATAAATTATTGTTTAAATAATTTATGATTATAAAATAAAATATGATAATAATAATAATAATAATAATAATAATAAAAAAGATATATTTTTAACTATTATTTTAGAGTAAATTTTTTTTAATTTATATATTAAATTATTATATAAAAAATAAATATTAATTTCATTAATATATTTTAAAATTTTGAAAAAATATTTAATAATTTTTTTATTTTTAAATTAATTATTTTTTATTTATTTTTTATTTTCAGTGGAATAATTTATTCATCTGTCATAAACTAGACAAAATATTATAATTCATTTTAAAATATAAATTAAACTGAATGAATAAATTTCACTTGTAGACTCAAATTTGATCGGATCAAACTGTTTGTTTTGTTAAAATAACAGAATTGAACTGATAATCAAATTAAACAGAATTTAAAAGAAAAAAAAAACTTCTTAAAATATGCTAAACTTCCTGTTTTTGAAGATCAATCTATAATTAAATTATTTAATGTAATAGCACTCTGCACTGCACTGGAAAAAATAATATATAAACTGCTATTTAATTTTTGGGTTCTTATGATTCACTATTCTTAAAGGTTAGGTTTTTTTTTTCCTATTCTTCATAATCTATATAACTTCTATTAATAGTTTATTATTATTTTTTAAATTTTAATTTTTTGGATAAAGTATATAATTATCGTCCACTACACAAAGCTATTTTAAATTTAAATAATATTTAATAATTTAAAAGTATTAATAAATCATACTTTTTTTTTCAGAGTAAGTGAAAATATTCTTATCTATTATCAAAGAAATAATGGTTTTGTTGATAAAACAACTTTAAGTCAATAACAATTCATAATGGTTTGAATTGATGCAGAATGGATAACATAAACCCCTCCAACGAAGCTCGTGAGACCAAGTCAAATGGTACTTTTGACTTAACTAAAGGACAATTTTTGGCCCATGACAATAATCGAAAAAATGTTAGACTTTAAATTGGCTCTCATACCATGTTATGATTCCAACATAAAACCAATTGACAATATATGGAGTAGTCTAACATGTATTTAAATCATACCAAATAACATGAGGTAGTGAGACTTTCAACAAGAAGTTTTGGTTTAGACAATAAAAGATAAGTAAAATATAAACACAATATAATTATATATCTTTTATATATATACATATACATATATATATATATATATATATATATATATAAAGTTAATAGTTTAAAAATTATTTTTATCATATTTTTATTTTTCAGTAAATAATAATATAAAAGAATAGGTCATTTTAATTATTAAATTATAAAAAATTGAAAAATTGAAAAAATAAAAAATAAAAATAAAAGTCCTTATTCTTGAAATAATATTATATATTAGAAAAAATGTTAGCTTATTTAAAAAAATTAAAGACTCATTCTTAATTTTTAATATTTTTTTTCTTAAAATATAATAATTATAAATAGTTATTATTTTATATCAATAAATTATAAAATAATAAAAAATAAAAATACAAAACAAATTTCTTATTCTTTAGTATATAGATTCATTAATTCTAAAAACAAAAATTACTGATTTAACATTTTATTTTTTTTATTTAATAATTAAGAAGAATTATTATTTTATTATATTAAAAAAATACTTATAAAAATAAATAAATCTTTAATTCTTATTATAAAAAATAATTTTCTCATATATATATATATATATATATAATTGGTTATTTTATCATTTCTCTTCATTTTTTTATTACTTCAGTTATATATTTGTTTTAACGGAACATTCCTGTATTTTATCATTTTTCTTCAATTTTTTATCATTATTTTTTCTCAAAAGCTGACCAGGAAGAAGATTTGAGTTGAGTTGAGTTGAGTGACAGAACCCAAAGCGCTCTTCACTTTTATTGTATGTCCCCTTCCGATATCTTGGAAGAAGGGTTTTGGTGGTCTCATGTGACAGTATTCCATAGTCAAAGTACATTCTTCAAAAGTCGGCTTCAGCTTGCCATTAATAATCCTTAACAAATTATATGCATCATATTGTACCTTTTACCCCACACTCTCCCTTATACTAATAACACATAAACATGATAGGGTATTCTTTACAAGGATTTAGGGTTTTTTTAGTTCCGATTTCAAGTAATCACTTTAGTTTGATAATTTAAACTAAACTAAATTAATGTTTATTGTTTCATTTGGATAAATATGTTTTTTTATAAATTATTAAATAATAAAAATATTAAACAAAAGAATGATTATTTTGATTTTATAAATAAAGTATACAATCTTATACATAGATAAACAGAAATAACATGAGACCAGGGAAAATTATACGCGCTGGTACGATATTTAATGAATAAAAATATTAACAATTAATTACCGTGTTTAGATATGATAGGAATTTTCTTGACTGGAGAGTGATATCTAATATCAAAGAGTCCATTTCGAGACTGAAGACTTATACAATATTAATTCATCCAATGATTTCGGGATAATATCCATAATTAAAATCGATCAATTGGATGAGTATTCAAGATTACATAATTTTATTTATAATTAAAGTAATTATAACAACTCTTGTATTATAAAAATTAGGTCATTTAATTGTTCATGCCTAAATCCATAAAAATTTGAACGAATTAACCTAATACAAATGTTAAGAGAGAATTTTACTTCTTCGAAACTAACCCAGATTCTTATAATTTCTTGTTAGAAGACCAATTGTTGGAAAATTAATAATAATAATAATAATAATCCTGATTTTGATTCTAACGATCAAACATAAATAAAATCCCATACTGATAAACATGCTGTAAATTGAATGCGAAAGCGTACCTAAATTATCCATAACGATAATGTCTTTGTAGAGCACTATATTGATCTTATGGTCTTCCACCTGAAGAGCACCTGTATTTCCCTCTTGATTTTCTCTCTTGATGGGGATAGAAAGAAAGGAACGGGACTGATACTTACGTTCTGTGTGTGCTCCCAGAAGGGGACCATGACCCTTTAGATAACCAGAATTAGGTTAATTACTTAAGTTTTAGTATTTCCAATTTGGCTCCTCATCAAATTAGAAATTGCTCTATGGTTTCTACACAATTTTATTTTCATGACATATGCTTTTATCCAAAACTTTAATTTAGTCAGATCACTTTATTATTTGGCTTAATAAATAATGTCCCTAACACATTTAAATTATGTATCATATATACATGACCCAAATTTTGCCAAAAATCTCCCACTGGTCACAAATATATATGTCCTTACAACCT